TCCGCCAACCCTGCCGGCTTCATCAACCAAACCAGGTTCAAGAAATCACGGTCCCACCATAATCCTGGATGGCCCTGCCCCACCCCACCCCTGGAAAGTGGCAGCCACATACGCCCTTTTTCCAAATCCCCCGTATTTAAAAGGGTAGAAATGCACCAGCCCCCCCAAGGCCCAGCTCTCTGCACAGGCAGGTCAGAGCTCTCACATCAAACAAAATCCGATGTTGACAGAATGGAAGCTGCTTTGTCAAATCAGCGAGGGGATTCAGAGGCCTCCATGAGTGGAACTTGAAACCCACTGTTCTATGCCAACCCCTTCAGTGTCCATATGGGGAAAATGAGGCCCAGGGTTGAGTGGAAAGTTGCTCAAGATGACATAGTGAGTGGCGACAGAACTAGGACCAGGGTCCTGGCTCCATTAGGCAGCCTCTGCGGAGACAGGGTGACATGAGCTGTTTGTCATCCCAACGAGGGCAGCGGTTCTCAGCCCCAGATGCACATTCATCCCCAGTGGATCCTGGAAAACCTAGGGTGCTGGGACCCTTCAGAGATGAGTTGAATCAGGTTTCGCAAGGTGGGGCCTGGGCATCCATTTTTTTATGGGTCCCCAGGTGATTGAAACACGCTGCCAGGGTTGAGAACCTCCGAGCTGGAGAAAAGAGGAGCTGGATGGCTCATCACCAGGTGTGGTCCCTTAGGAGACACCTGCCCGGGGTACCTTAGTGGTGGGCTGTCTGCCTTCTGTCTTTTCCATGTGCTGCTACTTGAGGTCATTCTCAGGGGCGGGAGCTGTGCACCTGCTCAGGTCAAGGTGGCCCCCTCTTAGAGGTGTCTGGGCTGCCATCAGAACAGACTCAGCTGCCCTCCAGGCTGCTATGTGTGCTGGGCCCCTCTGCAGCCATGCAGACGGGACCTGACCCTTCCGGCACCTTCTGACTGCGGAGCCTACACAGCTGTGCAGCTGAGAATACCTGGAGCTCTGGGGCCCTTAGAGCCAAGTGTGCCAGCACAGAGGTGCCACAAGCCCCACCAGGCCCTCCAATCCAGGTGAGTCTCAGCACCTCTGTGACTCAGTTTCCTCTTCACCAATAGCCAGAGATCCTTCGTTTGGATTGGAAAATCTGGCTTCTAGTTGTAGCTCTGTCCCTAACTCGCTATGTAACCCTGAGCAAGTCATTTCACACTCCGGGCCTCAGTTTCCCCAAGTGAAAAATGAAGGGGTGGGTAAGACCCCAGAGATGTCTCACTGAACCAGCCTGGGGACTGCTCTCCAAGGCCACCTGTGATGAATCCCAAAGGTGACCAGCTTCGCGGGCCCCTCAGCCACAGGCGCAGCCACAACCCAACAGACTCCAGGAAGCATCTCCACATGTTACGGGAAAGCGCCGTGGGAGTGGGTCCAGTCCGTCCTTACTACTGGACCAATGACAGAGGCCCTGAGGATGGCCCTCTCCACCAGAGGTGGTCCTGGGATTTTGATTTTGCCCATTAAGAATGAAACCAGGCCAGACATGGTGGCTCTCACCTGTAATCCCAGCACTTTGGGAGGCTCAGGCAGGCAGATCACTTGACCCCAGGAGTTCAAGACCAGCCTGAGCAACATGGCAAAACCCCATCTCTACAAAAAATACAAAAATTAGTCAGGGACGGTGGTGCATGCTTGTAGTCCCAGCTACTCAGGAGGCTGAGGCGGGAGGATCGCTTGAGCCTGGGGAGGTCCAGGCTGCAGTGAGCCAAGATTGCACCATTATGTTCTAGCCTGGGCAACAGAGTGGTGACAGAGCTCCAGAAAAAAAAAAAAAAAAAAAAGGAAAGAAAAAAGAAAGCAGCTTTCTTCCTGCACCAAGGCTTTGTGCTAAGGTTTGCGCTGATGCTTGAGCCTTGAGAAAGAGCTGTGTGGAACCAAGCAAACCACCTGGGCTGTGGAACTTGATGGGATCTGGGTTCAAGCCCTACAGCCCAGTGGGATAGCACTTGTCAGAACACCATCCCTCTGAGCCTGCCTCCAGTTGCAGGGAGGAGTTAATGAGCCACCAGACGCCCAGTGCATGGCTCAGTGCACCAGGGTACCCTTCCTTCCCTTTCCCCATCCTAAGACTCACTGCTCAGGAAAGAAAAGCCCCCATATCATGCCTGGGTCATCTTCAGTTCATGGAAAGGCAAGAAGATAAAGTTGAATCCACTGCCACAGATAGAGAGGCCCAACAGACTTGCTTGTCCTCGTCCTTCAAAGCTTTGACTGGTGCCCCTCCTCCAGGAAGCCTGCCCTGACTCAGCTAGGCTAATTTATCTTTTTTCAACTCCTCCTCCCAATACGGTCCAGAGGCTGTTTCCCAGACATCTTGCATATGGCAGGTTTGGGGATGCTTGAGGCTGTCCACAGGCCCAGGACAAAGCCTTAAACCGATGATGATGATAATGGTGACAGTTAACATAACTGAATGTTCACCACAAATCAGTATTAGTTACATGCTTTGCACACACAATCTCATTCAATCCCCCCAACTGCCCTTTGAAGTAAGGCCAAACTGGGTTACATCCTGGCTCTGCCACTCACTGGCTGTGTGACCTTGGGCAAGTTGTTTAACCTCTCTGTGCCTTTGTTTTCTCATCTATAAGATGACGATGATGACAGTACCCACTTTAGAACTGTGTGAGAATTAGTTAACATATGGAAAGTGCTTAGGACCAGCACTGCTGGGGAGTGGCGTTAAGTGTCATTGCTGGTATTATTATCATCCCCAGGCGACAGGTGAGGAAACAGAGACTCAGAGAAGTTAAAGGAGTTTTCCACAGTTGGAGAGCTGGGAAGTTGCAGAGCCAGGATGGAGCCACCACACCTACTGCCCTTTCTCTTGTTGGCCCGCAGGCTGAGCACCCAGGATTGTTACATCACAGCACCTCCAAGCCAGGAGGGACCTCAGAGCTAACTCAGTTCTGCTCCCTTTCCCAGAAACGAGTCCTTTCTGCAGCACCTTGTAAGAAGGTTGTCCAGCCTCTGCCGGCCTCTCAGAGGGGAGGGGCTGCTTCTGTACCCTTGTGTGTGTCCCCAGAGCCTGTGCTCATCCTTCAAGGCTCTGACTGGTACACACACTAGACTCAAAAGAAATACTTGAAGAATGTGTGAATGAACAAACTAGGAGGTCTCCACTCCCACCCCTGGGGGGTTAGGCCATCAGGGCCCAATAATCCCTCATTTGAAGGCATCAGAGCTTCCATCCCCCACCCTGTGACTGTCCCACCCTCGGCCTTCTCTGTAAACCTCCAGTGTGGCTCAGGTGACTCCAGGAAGCTATGGCCTTTGTCTCCTATCGCCCCAATCCATCCTCTATCCTCTAAGGAAGCTCTGCTGGGGAGGAGCCAGCCCCAGGCTTCCTGGGGCAGGTCAAACCGGAGCCACATCTGCCCAACAGGCACGAGGTAGCAGGGGCAGGTGCGTCACCCCATGGCACACAGCCCAGTCACCCCATGGCAGGCAGACAGTGGTGCCAAGTGGTAGCTACCCCTCCTTCCTTACCCCTCCTCCTTACCCCTGTGGCACAGCCTCCGTGGCTTCCCCTTCCTTCAAGAACCACTGAATCCCCTTCCTCCTCCTCACTGCCCATCCACCCACCCAATACCAAGATTTATGTCCTGGACTGGCTCTGCTCCAGACTTGGTTCCCTCCCATGACCAGCTCCTCACTCCTCTCATCGAATGCCCTGGAGCAACCCCATCGCTGCTCCCAAGTTCACCCCGATTTTTCGAGTCTTAGTCTCGGAGACTCGTTCTCAATGGGTGGGCTATTTTCCTCCCCACCCCAGGGCACATTTGGCAACGTCTGGGGACATTTTTGGTTGTCACAGCTCGGGAGCGTGCTGCCGGTGTCTAGCAAAGAGAGGCCCGGAATGCTGCTCTCCATCCTACAGTGCACAGGGCGGCCCCCATGACAAAGAGGTACCGTGACAGTGGTGCTGAGGCTGAGAAACCTGGCCCGAGGAGAGGGCTGGGAGACTTGGGAGGCGGGAGCTGTCCCACAGTTCTGCACCCTCCTCTCCCAATATCCTGATTACCTCAAAGCCAGGTAACTGGAGACTCCCCAAAAGCCTAAGAAGCCAGCTCCCTGGTGGTCCCCAGAGCCCAGCTCCTAAAACCCTACCTTAACCCTCTTTTCTTCCTAAGAGAGAGAAGACAGGGCCTTACCTCCCTCCACCAAGGGCCTTAAATACATGACCTGGCACACAGTAGGGGCATAATGCATGGCCATTGAGTGTCTGGAGGAAATCAGGTTGGAAATCTCTATTTTCCAAGTATCAGAGCAGCTAAAACCATAAGACTCTTGAGTAAGACCACAAGCGGGTTTAAACCCTGGCTTTGCCACTTAGTAACTGTGTGACTTGAGCAAATGGCTTGCCCTCTCTGCCTCGGTTTTCTCATTTGTCTGATGAGATGATGCTAATAATAAACCTAGTTCACAGGGTTGTTGTAAGGGTTAAATTCAAGATTAAAGTTTGAAAGTTAACTCAAGAGGCTTGTGAAGCTCTTAGAACAGTGCCTGGCACATGGTAAGTGCTATGTATTAACCTATTTTTTAAAAATGATTCACGCTCTGTTTCTAGGCTCATGGGCTCAGGATGGGGCTGGGGATATCTGCCTCTTCCTATTCTTTCGTGCCCCAGACAGATCCTCAACCTAACCTGCAGGATCCCTTGGACACAGAAAAGTGCCATCTCTTCGTGGCACCAGCCCCCTCCAAGCCCCTGGCCTGGAGCTCAGCCATTGAAGCCTCTTCTACCCCGCTCAGCCTCCCAAACTTCAAACTCCCTGGCTGAGGTCTTCAGGAAACTCAGCTGACCAAGAGGAGGACCCAGGCTTCCCTGATTGGCTGCTGTTCCGAGGCCAAGGCTGGGGAGTGGGCCCTGAAGAAGCCCTGCCCAGCCTGCAGGGAGGAAGGTCCAAGGGAGGAAGGTTCAAGGGCATCAGCACCAAGGGCCTGCAAACCACTAGACCTCTGACTCTTACCCATAAATGTCCACGACGGTCTCCACGCCAGCCACACACACCGCGCTGGTGGGATGCTCCAGGGACACACGCACGATTCTCTGCAGTGACATGCTGGTCTTGGACTTGGCTGTGGCCGCCAACCCCAACACTGCCCCTGAGGCCCCTTAGGATGAGGTTTAAAAGCCCCTGGCCCCACCCCTCCAGCCAGGGTGCCGATTCATTGGCTCCAGTCATGAAAGCCCAGCCCCTTCCCAAAACTGAGAGCTCAGGATAGGCTGGAAGGGACCCAGTATTTGTATATGAACCTGTTGTCCCGACCCCGGCACCCAGGAAGTTAATTTCTTGGGAAGCAAGTCCCCACAGGTACCTGGCTAGGCACCAGGAACTGTTGGGGGCAGGTGCTGTTGAGTGGGTGCAGAGATATATGATACCGGTCTCGGACGCTTCTTTCCCCCTCACCTCCATTTTCTGCATTTTCAGAGACAATATAATTTAATGGGGAGCTTTCTTATTCTGCTGGGGAACTGGTGAAAATGCGGATTCCCAGGTCTGTTGTCCACTCTGATCCAGCAGGTTAGGGGTGCAGCCTGGCCTCTGGATTTTTTTTTTTTTTTTTTTTTGAGACGGAGTTTCACTTTTGTTGCCCAGGCTGGAGTGCAATGGTGCGATCTCAGCTCACCGCAACCTTCGCCTCCTGGCTTCAAGTGATTCTCCTGCCTCAGTTTCCTGAGCAGCTGAGATTACAGGCGTGCGCCACCACTCCCGGCTAATTTTGTATTTTTAGTAGAAATGGGGTTTTTCCATGTTGGTCAGGCTGGTTTCGAACTCCAGACCTCAGGTGGTCCGCCTGCCTGGGCCTCCCAAAGTGCTGGGATTACAGGCATGAGCCACCGCGCCTGGCCCTCTGGAGTTTTTAATAAGCTCCCCAACGCATTTTGGTGTCCTTTGAGAAACACCAGCTTTTTTTTTTTTTTTTGGCATGGATTTTAGAGCCAGGCCTGGGTTTCAGCCCTGCCTCAGCCACTTCCTGGATGGGCAACCTTGGGCAAGTATCTTAATAGTTCGTGCCTCACTTCTCTCATCTGAAAAATGGTTGCTGTGAGGCCTCATGGACAGCGTTAGTAGAGCTCTGGAATGGAGCCTGGCGTTATTGTATTACTGTTGTTGTCATTAGATCTCAAAAACCTCTGAAAGGGGTAAATGATGAGGGCGAGAACTCTCTCCAGCCAGGGGAGCTTGGCATGTCAGAGTAGGAAGGCTCAGTCGTCGGGCGGGAAAACCGAAGTCAGAGGGGGCATTCGGGCTCCTGGAGGAGCAGGAGCAAGGGCTCTGGGGAGAGAAGTCTTGGGTTCAGATGCGGGCTCCACTGTGTACCCACAATAGGGCCTTGGGTGCCAGTGTCTCCCCCTCTTGGAGACTCGGTTTCCTCATCTGTAGAAAATGCAGCTAATCACTGGCGCTGGCGGAGATAATAGTGAAGACGCACCCTGCCTGGGGGAGGCTCAGGAGGTACTGAATAGAAGTTTCCTCCCTTTTCCCTGGCAGTGCTGACAGCCTAAGGCAGGATGGGGACCAGGACCCGCTCCCCAGCACCTCCAGCTGGGACATCTGCACCAGTTCAAGGACCTCAGCAGGACCCTAAGATTGTCATTTCCATGTCTCAGTTTCTGGGAAGGATGTTCTTTTCAAGGAGAACTGCTGGGCTGCTGGGCCAAGAGACAGCTTCACTGTTTTCAGCTGTGGAACGGCTTGATGGCTGTGTCAGCCCTGGGTAAGAGTTCGAGCTCAGGAGGAAGCCTTAGTCTCCCTAGCCTGCTTGTGAGCACCGATGGGGAATAGACGCAGAAAGTGGGGGCTTTCCCTGGAGTGCTGGCCCACCACCTGCCTCCTTCTCAGAGAACTGTATGTGCCTTTGGAAGGAGACTCATGCCTTCACTTCTCCCCCATTAATACCAACTTTTAGAAACAGGTTTGTGGTTAACTCAGACTAAAGTGTCAATGACTAACAGGCAACAACTTTTTGCCCTCTTAGTCCACAACAAAAGCTAAAATAAAGTGAGTATCAAAGGGTATAATTTGAGGCAGCAGCAAATGTGTAGGATGAGAGGGTGACATTTTCAGGCATCCAAACTCAGACCACTGAAGCCGGGTAACTTAGAAGCTTCAGAGGCAAAAATGGAAGGGAACTGGGCCAGGCACAGTAGCTCACACCTGTAATCCCAGCACTTTGGGAGGCCAAGATGGGAGGATAGCTTGAGCCCAGGAGTTTGAGACCAGCCTGGGTAACACAGCAAAACCCCAGCTCTGTAAAAAATAAATTAGCAATTTGCGCATGGTGGCCTGTGCCTGTATTCCCAGCTACTCAGGAGGCTGAGGTGGGAGGATCACTTGAGCACAAGAATTCAAGGCTGTAATGAGCTGTGATCGCACCACTGCACTCCAGCCTGGGTGACAGAGCAAGACTCAGTCTCAAACAAAACAAAACAAAACAAAAACCAGAAAGGGAACTGTAGTGGCCTGTGGCCGTGGGAACCAGCCCTGCTGGGGAACTCTCACCTCTGTTAATAGGACCCAGGCTGCCTCCCCGTCCTGTCCTCCCTGAGAGATGGAGGAGATGCTGAAGGAAGAGAGGAGAGAAGAAGAGGCAGGACCCATCCCTGCCCTGATCTGATCTCCATCTCAGCAGGGCCATCAGCCCCAGAGCAAGAGGCATGTGCCAGTCATCCTGCTGAATCAGCCTGCCTGGCACTGGCCGTGGCACTGTGAGGCTCTCCCAGCTGAGCAGGGTCTGCCTGTGGCAGCAGAAGTTGAGCTAAGCAGCTGCATAGTGGGTGGAACTGAAAGCAGGCGTCTCCGCTTTCCTCCCCTCCTCCCCAACCCAACAAACAGGCTGCGGAGACAGCCCTGTAAGAAACGCATATCGACATTTTTATTGATCAGAAAGGAGGTGACTGGTCACCCAGAACATTCTCAGAGCCAACACCAGGGCCCCTCGATGGCCCAGCAGCAACTCCAGAGCTTCCCACACCCAGGGTGGCCCTGACCCCCAGCCCTATCTCTGCAATGCCCACTCCCCTCCTACCCACAGCTCTTTCTCGGGGGATTCCCAAGCCCAGCTCACACCCCCGGCCCCTTCAGAGCCTCCTTCTCCTTCTTGACTCAGTGCAGCCTGGGGTATGATCCTGAGCAGAGGGTGCTCAGGTTAAAGCAGGAGCTTGCAGATGCGGTTCTGTAGAACCTTCCAGAAGGGGATTTTCAGGTTCCTGCTCACCCACTTTAACCATAGCAGTTCCAGGCTAGCTTTTGTTGGTTAAAAGAGTGACAGTAGTTGGCTCAGTGTGAGGTCTCCCCAGGGGCCACCAAAAACCTAGATGGGCAGAGGCTCTAGGGCCGACTGCCCTGCAGTGACCACACTGGCGGTGGGGGCTTTCTCCTGCCCGTGCCCTGCAGCCCAGCTGAACCAGACTGCCTGTGCCTGTCTCAGCGACCGCACTCAGAGCGATGAACCTCCCGTGGCAGCTGTCTTCCCTACTGTGGGAGGGAACACGGGCCTGCCACAGCGGTGTATTCAGGGGTGAAACCCATGCTATGTGCAGGGTCCCTGGGTTGCTGAGAGAGACCGGGCAAGCCTTCCCCTCCCACTGCCTGCAGAATGAAGGGGAATAATTAAAGACTATTAAAGGAAATTAAACTCCACCTTCAGAGAGAACCTAATTTCCTCCCAACACACACACCCACTTCTAACATTCTGGGCCCCCACCCCTGCTACATCTGGAAGCGCCAGCTCCCTTCAAATCCAGAGTTCAAAATCCCAGCCCAGGAGCCATGGACACCTCCAGGCCCCCAAATCCATCATCACACACTCTGCCATCCTGACCTCGTCCCCTCCTGCCCCATCTTCCTTTGTGTGTCCTCAGGCCTCACATTGGCCTCTCAGCATTTCTGAGGAGGGAGAAGCCGGCTCCGGTAATTAAAGTCTTTCGAGAAAGGTAACAATCAGTCTTCTGAGGTTGGAGTCAGTTATTAAAATTTTGTTGTCTTTTTTTTTTTTCTATTGAAATTGGCCCTTGGACATTGGGTTTTTCTGTCCTTGTTTGTCCACACACAGCTGAAAGGTGCTGGATGGGGGTGGAGGTAAGTGTCACAGCCTTGGGCCCCCTTTGGGAGAAGAAATCTGGATGGGGCAGAGGATGTTTCTGATCTCCTTTCCTAGCTTTCCAAGAGCAGAGGCAGCCTGGTGCCTGGCACACCAGACCCCAGGTCCTCCGGGCCCCATTCCTGATGCAGACACGCAAAGTTACTGTCCTTGTTCCCCAGGGAGGCATCAGAATGAAGGGGGAGCAATTCAAAGTGGGGCCCATCTCCCTAGGCCACCCACAGCCATTCTCGAACATGCTAACCTTGTGGGTCCGGAGCCTCTGGGGGCTGTGGGTGGGGAAGAGGCGAGGGAAGAATGATGTGCGTTCTTCTCGGGTTGGGTAGGCCGTTCCAGAGGCGAGGGTGGGTGGTATCCATCCCTGTGTCCTGGTGCCCACGGGGGCCAGGATGTTTGCAAAGTGCCAAGGCTCCCCTAAGAGAATGGAGGCCAGGTGGTTGTTCCTTGCCCTCACCCTGGCGGGGTTCCCCAGCAAGAGGGCAGAGAGGATGGCGGGTGGGGGCAGGCTCAGGGCACCATGTTCCACCATTTGAAGGGAAAGGGCTTCCTGCGCACGTTGGTGCCACAGTGGATCTCGCCCTGCAGCTCGTGGTAGGACAAGTAGTCATCAATGAAGATGCAGTGCAGGCCCAGAGGTTCCAGCAGGGACTGCACCTTCTCCTCGAGGCAGCAGCGGCCGTTGATGATGGGCCCGTAGGGCTTGGGGATGCCCAGGTACTTGCCTAAGACCACCATGTTAACCTGCAAGAGAGAAAAGGCAAGAGGGAGGCTGTCTGGCTGTGAGCGCTGTGCTTCTGGCACCCCTTCCTTGCCGGAATAAGACAGACCCTGGGGAATGGGTTGGCCGTCGCTAGAGCCCACAAAGGGCTCTAGGACTGGGGTTTGCTCAAGAGTTAGGGTCTATGAAAGCAGAGGAGAAAAAGATTCAGGGTTGGAAATGAGGTTGAATAACAGCCAGGGCTACTAGGAATTTTGTACATTAAAAAAA